CCACACCGTTATTGGTGTAATCAAAAGTGACGTAAATAATGACATAAACTTTGGGTAGTTTCAAGTTTAGGTTGGATAAATACATGAATGAAAGGGGTTGGCTCTGAGTGGGACTTGCACATGAGTAAAGAGAATTATCAAAGCTCATTGTTAGGGTTGCAATGAAAATGGGCTGGGCAAATGTTTTGTTAGTGGGTTGGTTTTGTAAGGGACCTGCCTAGTATGGGCCAGTAGGCCTACTGCAGTGTTCCTCCTTTCTTATGTTCTTAAAAAAAATGAAAAGTATAAACTGTATTTATGTTGCTATCAATAAATCACTGTAAATAGTAATCACACACACACAAGGATGTTAAGAAGTATTTCTTCAGCCACAGAGTTGTCAGGAAGTGGAACAGTCTGGAAAGTGAGGTGGTGGAGGTACGACAAAGCTCATGGAGCAAGGAGTGGACCTAGTGACGACCAGTGAAGAGGCGGGGCCAGGAGGTATAACTCGATCCCTGCAATCACAATTAGGTGAGTAAACACACACACACACACACACACACACACACACACACACACACACACGCGCGCGCGCGCGCGCGCGCGCGCACACACACACACACACACACACACACACACACACACACACACACACACACACACACACACACACACACACACACACACACACACACACATCAGAAATAAAACACCTCAAATGAGTCACAGGGATGCTAGGAAATATTTCTTCAGTCATAGAGTTGTCAGGAAGTGGAACAATCTGGAGAGTGATTTAGTGGAGGCAGGATACATACATAGCTTTAAGTAGATGTACGATAAAATTCTTCTCGCAGGGAGAGTGGATCTAGTAGCAACCAGCAAAGCAGTGGGGCCAGGAGCTATAACTCAACCCCTGCAACCACAAATGAATACACGCACACACACACACACAACCCATGGATCGACCAAGAGAGCAGAAATTTCAAGGGGAGATGCAACACGGGACGGTGGAAATATGGAGTCAAGAAAATGACCGAGAATAGAAACACAAGCAGTAAAGCTGGAAAATGCTACACAAGACTAAGGTTAGCTGAGAGATAATTTGAGAGTATACAGCACATAAAAATAAAGATGAGTGCACAGAACCAGTCCATAATTCGCGCTCCTATCATTCCATATCTCCCATCTTGTTGCATTCACAATGTTGTGGATTCTCAGTTTTTTAATAGAAATTAACAAGAGTCAGTGAGCCTTTGTAATACAAAAGAGTAAACTGTCTGAGAGTCAGTCAGTTAGGTTACAACAGCAGCAACTGCACAGCATCCATACAACAAAAGTAATTGGACAACTATATAAGGAGCCAGTTATAACGAAACCAATGTGACCTGACAACATATCTCCTCTCCAAAGGTACCGAGAAAAAAATAACAAACACTCTACCTATACAAAAAAAAAATCTGCAACAAATTGCGTGAGACAAAAATTGCTAGAATTTGCTTAAAAAGGCTAATGTGGTCCTCATATTAACTCTCCCTTGTACCGAGATAGAAGGGAAATCATTTATGTGAGAAAACACAAATTTCTTCATGAATGAGCCTCAAAACTCCATAAATGTATGCCAGATTTCCGACATTACCCTAACTCCGATAGATTTCGAAAAAGCCATTGACAAAATGCCTATGCACTCAGCCCCGGGCCCAGACGCGTGGAACTCTGTTTTCATTAAGAACTGCAAGAAACCCCTCTCGCATGCCAAAAGTACACTATGGAGGAGGAGCTTGGACATGGGTGAAATTCCACAGTCACTTAAGACAACGGATATAGCCCCACTCCATAAAGGTGGCAGCAAAGCATTAGCTAAGAACTATAGACCAATAGCTCTGACGTCCCACATCATAAAAATCTTTGAAAGAGTGCTAAGAAGTAGGATTGCAAATCACCTGGATTCCCAAAATCTGCACAATCCAGGGCAACATGGGTTCAGGGCAGGTTGCTCCTGCCTCTCACAACTACTGGATCACTATGACATGGCCTTGGATGCACTGGAAGAAAATCAGAATGCAGATGTAATATACACAGACTTTGCAAAAGCATTTGACAAATGCAGTCATGGCGTAATAGCCCATAAAATACGTGCTAAAGGAATAACTGGGAAAGTGGGGAGATGGATCTTCAACTTCCTAACAAATCGAACACAAAGAGTAGTGGTCAACAGAGTTAAATCGGAGGCTGCCATAGTGAAGAGCTCTGTTCCACAAGGCACAGTACTCGCCCCCATCTTATTCCTTATCCTCATATCAGAGATAAACAGAGATATACACCACAGCACCGTATCATCCTTTGCGGATGATATTAGGATCTGCATGAGGCTGTCATCTGCTGAGGACGCGGTTAATCTCCAAGAAGATATAAACAAAGTTTTCCAATGGGCAACGGTAAACAATATGATGTTCAACGAGGACAAATTCCAACTCCTCCGTTATGGAAAACTGGAGGAGATAATAACTAGAACAGAGTATACTACTGACTCCGGCCATACAATAGAGCGGAAAACTAATGTAAGGGACCTGGGAGTAGTAATGTCTGAGGATCTCACTTTCAAGGATCACAACAGTGCCACGATCGCACGTGCAAAGAAAATGATAGGATGGATAATGAGAACTTTCAAAACGAGAGATGCCAAGCACATGATGATCCTTTTCAAATCACTTGTTCTCTCTAGGCTGGAATACTGCTGTACATTAACACCTCCATTCAAAGCAGGTGAAATCGCAGATCTAGAGAGTGTACAGAGATCCTTTACTGCACGTATAAGTTCTGTCAAGCACCTTAACTACTGGGAACGCTTGGAAGCACTTGACTTGTACTCTTTGGAACGCAGGAGGGAGAGATATATCATAATCTACACTTGGAAAATCTTGGAAGGAATGGTCCCAAATCTGCACACAGAAATCACTCCCTACGAAAGTAAAAGACTGGGCAGGCGATGCAAAATGCCCCCAATAAAAAGTAGGGGCGCCATTGGTACACTAAGGGAAAACACCATAAGTGTCCGGGGCCCAAGACTGTTCAACAGCCTCCCATCAAGCATTAGGGGAATTGCCAATAAACCCCTGGCTGCCTTCAAGAGAGAGCTGGACAGATACCTAAAGTCAGTGCCGGATCAGCCGGGCTGTGGCTCGTACGTTGGACTGCGTGCGGCCAGCAGTAACAGCCTAGTTAATCAGGCCCTGATCCATCGGGAGGCCTGGTCATGGACCGGGCCGCGGGGGCGTTGATCCCCGGAATAACCTCCAGGTAACCTCCAGGTCGTTGTAGTCCGGGAGAACCACAACACAATTATAAAAGATAAACTTAATACTTTGTAAGGAAAGTTTCTTACTGATCTGCAAAAACTAAAAGGCACTGCATTTCATTGATCCACTAACATGAAACACACACATGAACAAAAAAGAAAGTTCTCAAGCAGATGAAGGCGTAACTGTACCATACATAGTCAGTGCAAGTATCAGGATGAGCAAAAGTAAGTAACGAGTGTGGTCGTACAAGGATCAGTACTGGGACTACTACTGTTGCTAATATATGTAAATGACCTCCCAGAGGTTAGGTAAGATTTGTCAAGAAACGACAATTGATTCCTAACGCGAGTCTAAGTCAAGTGATGACCCTCCACTGGAGCTTTTGGTCATCTGACCGAGGCCTTCCGCTGGCTTATCCCTCCACCCATTTAACAATTAAAATTATTAATAATCTGCAATATGACCTTCCAGAAGGTACAGAATTGTATGTTTCTTTACTTATTAATGACGTTAAATTAATAAAAGGCATAAGTACAAATGAAGACAGACAGGCTCCAATGAGACCTGGACAGCCTGTAGAGTGGTCAATAGAACTATGTTAGATTTGTTAACAGAACTATGTCAGATTTGTTAATTGAATTATGATAGATTTGTTAATAGACCTATGTTAGATCTGTTAATAGAAATATGTCAATTCGTTAATGGAACTATGTTAGATGCTAATAGACCTATGACAATTGTAACAGAATATACTGTTTATCAATACAACTATGGTCTTTCACTTAAAATAGAACTATGGCAGTTTTGGTGACAGAACTACACCATACTTCATGATGACTGAACCAGTACAAATTTCTTTATGACGCAATGCCAACGAATTTTAAAATTATGGCAATTTTCTTTATAAATACACACTGGCAGGGCCAGGAGCTGAGTCTCGACCCCTGCAACCTCAACTAGGTGAGTACAACTATGTGAGTACACACACACACACACACACACACACACACACACACACACACAACACACACACACACACACACACACACACACACACACACACACACACACACACACGATGAGTGGAGGCAGGATCCATACATAGCTTTAAGCAGAGGTATGATAAAGCTCACGGCTCAGGGAGAGTGACCTAGTAGCGATCAGTGAAGAGGCGGGGCCAGGAGCTCGGACTCGACCCCCGCAACCTCAACTAGGTGAGTACAACTAGGTGAGTACACACACACACACACACACACACACACAAACACACACACACACACACACATACCACACACCACACACACACAAACACACACACCACACACACACACACACACACACACACACACCACACAGTATATGGACATAAAACATATATTTTCCGCATACATCGAATTCCTAGGCGTGTAAATTCTTGTCTTGACCCAAAAAAGGTCACAAGCAGAAAAATAATAGCCTTAAATTAAGAAGAGGGTGAGGTGAAAGCGGCAGAGTTGATGGACATCCAGGGTGGGTTCTTAGGAAGAATAACATGTCCACTCTATATAACATAGTCGTCGTTTAACGATTCATATGCAGGTTAGAGGACCTTGCCGAGTGTACGTGCGCCGAGCCAGACCTCCCCCTCACTAATGAACGATTAAATCAAGAAATTCACACCCTGGCAAGCACGCTGCTGGAGCAGCTGTGCCTTCACTTCTTCCCCTGGCAGTAGCACACCTGGGGGGAGACGGGGGAGTCGCCCTGGTGGGTTTATCATGTGAAGGAAACACAAGGCTAGCACGCAACACTGTGGGCGGCAGGCAGAACAGCTCTGACCATCTCCCTTCACGTCTGTGTTGATACTGAGGTGGTGGTGGTGGTGGTGGTGGTGGTGGTGGTGGTGGTGGTGGGGTGGTGGTGGCGGTGAGGTGGTGGCGGTGGTGGTGGGGGTGGTGGTGGTTTGGGGGGGTGGTGGTGGAGGTGCTGGTGATGGTGGTGGGGGGGTAGTGGTACTGGTGTTGTTTGATAGTGGGATTTCTTTTGATGGTGGTTTGGGGGTGGTGGTGATGGTGTGGGGGGGTTTTGGTGATGGTGGGGGAGGTGGTGGTAATGGTGGTAGTGGTGATGGTGGTAGTGGTGGTGGTGATGGTGGTGGTGCGGTTGTGATGGTGGTGGTGGTGATGGTAGGTGTGGTGGTGAAGGTGGTGGAGGTGGTGATGGTGGTGGTGATGGAAGTAGTGGTGGTGGTGGTGCTGGTAGTGGTGCGGTAGTGGTGATTGTGGTGGTGATTTTGGTGGTGCTGATGGTGATGGTGATGGTGGTGGTGCTGGTAGTCGATGTGGTGATAGTGGCCAGGAAGAGAGGGAGATGGATCTAGGGCTAGGGGGAGAGGAGGAGTGATGGCTGGAGTGTGTGAGGGAAGGGAGGGAGAAGGGTGCATGGCGGGAGAGAGGGTGGAAAGGTAGAGGGCGCGAGAGAGGAATGGGAAGAGTAGTGGACGGAGAGGGGTGGGACGGGTGGAAGGGGACAGAGGGTGAGAAGGGTTGTTGGGGATTGTGGGTGGGGAAGGTGGAGGAGGGGGCGGGAGAGAGAGGGTGGGAAGGGAAGGAGTCACTCTGGGACGGGTGTTGAGGATGGGAGGGGCAACTTTTTCTTAAGCGTTCGTTCAGGGTGAGCGAACTATTAAGAGAACGGGGCGCAGAGGTTGTGCTCATGGGGAGAAAGGTGGGGTACACACACACACACACACACACACACACACACACACACACGGGACCATGAGCTGTGAATCGACCCCTGCAGCCATATATAAGTGAGTACACACATACAAGGTGCAAGCCTGCTCCGACAATTGGCTCCTTGAGTTTAACCCCACAAAGTGCAAAGTTGTCAAGCATGGGGGAGGTGTGCTGTAGCTAGACAGGTAGCACAATCACCTCACACACCGAGGTCCGGAGTTCGAATCTCCGGTACTGCTGAAAAAAAAAAAACATTAAGGACGTGTTTCCATAACACACCTGCTGTCCTTGTTCACTCATCAGTATTAAATGGGTACCTGGGTGTTAATTGTCTGGTGTGGGTCGCATCCTGGGACAAAACTGACCTAATCTGCCCGAAATGCTCAGCATAACAAGCGACTTTCTATATAGTAGTAATGCATTGATGTCAGCTATGGTCTGTATACCTTGTACGTGTACTTGTAGAAATAAAGATATTATTATTATTATTATTATTATTATTATTATTATTATTATTATTATTATTATTATTATTATTATTATTATTATAAAGAAGGCCGCAGACGGAGTACAGACTCTGGGGCCAAAAACTGCAGTCCTCACTCAAGAAAAAGGATCTTGGGGTGAACATCATACCAAGCACATCCACTGAGGTGCTCATCAACCAATCATAATGATTAATTACCTGCTGCAGCATGTGGACGCCTGGCAAACACAAGAATAACGTTGTGACATCTAAGTAAGAGTCATTCAAGACACTGTACACCCTGTAAGTCAGGCCCATACTGGAGTATGCAGCACCAGTGTGGAACCCACACCTGGTCAAGCACATCAAGAAATTAAGAGAAAGTGCAAAAATTTGCAACAAAATTAGTCCCGGGCATGTCCAACGAGGAGAGGTTAAGGGAACTCACCCTGATGACACGAGGACAGGAGGAATAGAGGGGACAGGATAAGGACGTGTAAAATACTGAGAGGAATTGACAAGGTGCAGAGGAAAGTGCCTAGGGGTATGTCCTATGAGGAGAGGTTAAGGAAACTTAATACGATGACACTGGAGGACAGGACAAGGGGAGGGATATGATAAGGACATACAAAATACCAAGAGGAATTGACAAGGTGAACAGGGTCAGAATGTTTCAAGAGATGGGATACAGGAACATGAATGCACACCTTGAAGTTGTAAACTCAGATAAGTCATAGGGATCTGAGGAAGAACTTCAGCCTTTGAATTGTTAGGAAGTGAAGCAATCTGGAGAGTGAAGTAGTGGAGGGAGGCTCCATACATAGCTTTAAGAAGAAGTACGATAAGGCTCTTGGAGTCGGGAGAGAGTGGACCTAGTATCGACTAGCGAAAAGGCGGGACCAGGAGCTATGACCCGACTCCTGCAACTGCACAGAGGGGAGTACACACACTGGAAATTTACCACATAGAAATAAGTTGTGTACTCATATATAGGCGAGTACAAACACACATATACCATCTTCACGCACCAGAAGTTTCCTGGGTTTATCATGAACAGTAGGGTAAGTGACCTGACATCCAAAAACTGACATCACGACGACGCTACTGAGAAGCTAGGTGACCAGCAGCATCTGAAGCCTAAGACTCACGGGTTAATTCTAAAATGTGTACCTAAATAGCATAAAAAATTTTAAAAATCATAATGAATTACAATATTTAACTCTACGAGTTTATTTTTGGTTAAAACTTATAAATTAACTAAACAACTTTTTTTTAAATATCTATGTATTTTTAGAAAAATTATCAAGAATTATACTATTGCTTGTAAAACTCGTACTATATATTATCAATAAAATGTATAGGCTGTGTAATTATGTGTCCTGTTTCCTGACAAACATTATACTTACCTACCATGCATAAATTCTTTCACCTTGCCATATACTTTGACGTTAAGTAATGGATTTGAAAACTGACAATATCTTGGGATCTGAATACAGGAAATTCTTCTACGCTTGCCTGGCCTGTAGGAATGACTTACACTAGCAGATTTGTCCAGTGGTGACTCCGCCTCCTTCTGCTTCTACTCACCTGACTGCAATATATAAGCCACTACTCCTAGCATATTTGCTGAGGGGCTGATTACCTCGTTCTCCTCATCTTTCACCGTTCATCTCTGTATTAGATTGAAGAAGTCACTGGCTGGCGAAACATTTCCCCAATAAAGAGTCATGAATGTTGCACAAGTGTCTCTGTCTTCAGCATATACTTTGATGACTAATCTTAGTGTCCAACTTAAGGACAATGTGCGCTAGACAAATTCTCATAACTAGGAGAATCTTTCAGCAAATAATTTAGGAAACAGGAATTAGCTTGTGCGTGCTGCGTGAGGGAGAGAGCCATCCATCAGTGGCTGGACAAGTCAATTCCCACCCTCAGTGTTGCCACACCTCGGGAATCATCACCTTACTACTGTACACATCCTCTCAACATTTATGGTAAGCTTCCACAATATCGCGGATTAAAAACTCAGAAGAAAACACCACTGCAGAGATAAATCAACTGACATTGTGCATTGAATGACAAAAACGAATGAATACCTTCTAGGGAAAAGTTGTAGAGAAAAGGGCATTCATGGAAGTGTGTAGTAATGAGCAGTTAGTGAGAGTGACAAAGGTGTTGAGGATCACTACTCCTACTAAACGCTTTATCTTCAAGGCCTTCGACTCACAACCATTAAATTCCCAATAGGTCCAAAGGGTCAGTATTGATGGCACACTGGTGTTGTCTCTGGCTGAGTCTAACATAGTGTTTCGTGGGGAATAATGTATTCTGGGTGGTGGGGGTTGAAGGGATGAACAGATGGGAAGCGGGAGTGAGGGTTTGGGCATGGGAGGGGTCACACAGGAAGGGTGGTGATGCTTGCAGCTGTGGTAATAATAATGTGCTTGCGGCTGTGGTAATCTGCATGCCATTCAACTCTAACAATTGTCCTCTGCTGCTTGACTTCAAACGTTCAAGAAAGGCACCTCTTATTTAGACGACAGCAGATTTTAGATTTTGCCGCCGATGCGGTAAGTCTATTGTACACTCAATATTCATCCTGTGGAGGGTAGCGCAAGAGCATACGGATACACAAAAGGCCTGGGAACCAGGCTCCAAAAGAGATTAACAGAAGTATATTTGGATTTGTCTCAAAACTGTCTCTGTTGTTGCAAAGACAGTTTTTCATCGTTAAGATACCCTCACATATCATATAAATTATTATGCTATCTCTATATTCCAGAATAAATGGACAATCAAGTACATACATTTACTAAAGTAATCATTAAACTAACTACATACTCTTAATTCAGCTTAACAATCATCTGTGTATAAGTTTGAGTCTACTTCTTCTGAATAGATTCAGTATCACTCACTAGCTTGCAAATTTCAACTTTTTTTTATCCAAGTCATAAACCAAAGTAGTTATTTAAAACTAACTTACATGCGTCTCTATCATGACTCTGACCTTGTTTAGTGTCTACCACGTTAAGCTTATGAGAAATATTATCTCCAATATTTTGGCTTTTTAAGGTTAAAGAATCATATAATCATACACACACACACACATATATATGTATATACATATATGTGTGTATGTGTGATTGTATATATATATATATATATATATATATATATATATATATATATATATATATTATATATATATATATATATATATATATATATATATATATATATATATATATATATATATATATATATATCTGTCGTGCCGAATATGTAAAACTGGTCAATTAGCAAGAACGCATTTAAAATTAAGTCCTTTCTAAAATTTTCTCTTATACGTTTAAAGACATATTTTTTTCATTAATGTTGATGTAAAAATTTATAATTTTGCACGAAAGGAACTTAGAAAACTTACCTAACCTTATTATAGCAAGCGCAATTAATTTTAGCCTAACCCAACTAAATATATTTTAGATTTGTTTACAATAATTTAATACTAAACAAACACAGTGAAATATATTTTTTTCGTTAGGTTCAGAATGATTTTGGCGAAATTATTCCATACACAAATTTTCGCTTGTCCCATATGGCAAGATGAGCGTTGCTATTTAAGCCAAGATCGCAAGTTCTGCCTATTCGGCACGAC